TCTCAAAAAGCTGCTTATAAAAACTGAAAGTGACCAATATTCGCCAGACGACACGGATGTGCCTTTATATTAAATGCAGAGGTTGGCGGTTGTCTTTCTCAAATATGCCTTTCTAAGAAAGTTAATTGGCAAAGTAAGTGACTATTCTATTATCGTTTTAATTAGTAATTTGTAATTCCCACCTAAAGTGTGATATGGGAATATGCCTGAGATTACTTGAAATTCTTATCTACCCAAAGACTCTAGGGAACTTGTGGCAATGCGGCTTAGTGCTTAAAGTGTCGAGATTATTCTCTGCACTGTCATGGTTTTAGGGTGATGATAAGACCTAGGCGAGGTATAAACTGCAATTGACCCTGGGTGAAAATACATTTGGGGAAGCATGGCTATGTGAAATTCAATGGAAATATGAGGTCTGCTTATGTTATTTTAGGAAAATACAAGTATCACTCTTTTATCACCTTAAACGAACACAATGGTGAACGCATCATATATATACCTGATTTACTTGTAGTCTGGAAACCCTACGAAAAATGACCCTTTACAAGTTTGTCTAGGCATTAAGCAAAGTTTTTGTTAATTCCGTCTATTCCAGTCTTCTGCTCATTGCAATCTCTTCAGTCATGACATCGATGGTCGCTCGAATATTGCATCTTATCTATTTTCATACTTAGATTAAGACAGTTGGGAAGGGAGAGTGCAAATAGGTTTCACTAGATCTACTCAAACGGACGGAAGTGAACTATGTTTGAATAAACAAGTAAGAAATTATGATACCAAATGGGCTTATACGAGGATATAGTACAGGTGAATGTGTCAGGATAGAAGGAGAGATATTAAAACTGTTCAGAGGTTAGTTGGTCGACGAATCGACTTTATTTGACTCAGTGACGAGATTTAGCTTGAATACAAGGGTATTATCATGGATAGTATTGACTACAAAGAAGTTACGTTCCTCAAGGTCGCCATGCAAATAAGACCAAGTTGCGAAAACGAGGTAACATTACATGTACTATATAATAGAATTCAGTGTTACGCTGAAATCAGGCAAACTGGCAGTTTCCTTTCATTAAAACGATGCATTCAGCAGGCTTCATCTAACATAAAGGTTAAAAACCAGAGGATAACTTTGATTCAGCAGACTCTACTCTATAGATAAAGTAGTTGCAGTTGTAACGAGAGGGTAATAGTATCTTTATGAGATTTTTATCTATTCAGATTTAATTCAGTTACCTTTTGTTGAGACTTGGTTATACCGATTTTTTTCAACTTTGTTTTCCGGAAGTCTTAGATACATGTGCCATATAATAGGTTGTCTGCCGTTTTATCACCTGCTTCCCCAGCATCCGTATATTCTCAGAATTTGATTAATTTCATTCAACTTAATTGAATAATTTTGACATATTTTCATTTCCATGAGTCCAACTATAGATATCTTCCCTACTAATGGTAGCAAGCTCATTACGATACCCACCTGCTGGTTATAATTTTAAATATTTATCATATAATAGTAATAGGCTTTCAATGTTTTCTGTTTGCTTCAATCCTACAGGTGGTCGACGAAAACGATGAAGTGCCACAGATCATAGCGAGCTTCATACGTCCGGGGGCTGGCGAGGGTGACGCGGAAGCAGGCGTGAAACGTCTAAAATATCTGAGCCGGTATACGGAGCAGCCAAGCGTCTTGGAAAACCAACCCGTCAATACTTTGATTGCTTCAATCCAAGTGAGAATTTGCCTACCCTAAAAATTGCCCACCCACAGGCAGTAGAAATGCATGCTAACCAAACAGACATAAGCTATAATAAAACAAACAATAAAAGTATTGAGGTATCTTATTCCCCATAAAAAGTCTCCTCATTATTAAGTAAATGATCGTTTGACTCGTCGAGTGCAAATTTGAAGAAGCATTTGAAGCAAATTAAGCCCTATATGTCGAAATTATCTACAAAGCTACATTTAAAGCGAGACGACCTCATTTGTCATTCGCGTATATGAAGGAAAAATGGGTTTCGAAGAATTCCTTAGAATTCCTCGTTCGTTGTAAGGAATTCGTAAAATCGTTTCACCGGAAACCATTATACTTAAAACGTCACGTCTTACTTTTTAGCCAATTTAGGTAAATCTCCTAAACCTGGAACTTTTCTACGTGCAATTCCTATGGCTTTGTTACATCTTTAGATGAACATACGATAGATAAGTGTAATTTAGGTATAGGTACACCAATATAATATACCAATATTCCGATAAACGGGGCTACACAAGCTTTGGGATTAGTGTTAGTTCCGAACCCGGGGAAACGAGAAAAATTTGAGCATCTACACTATCAGTAGATTAACTAGTTAAGTTAAGAATAGTACATATTTTGTGTCCAATCGTAAGTTGTATTAAAAAAATTGCGGTTTAACCATGAGATCGCGCTTAGCAGCAATTCGAAGTAATAGCCACATGAACTAACTAAAGGACCATTTAAATTAAGGAGCACTCTTAGTTGCCAAGCTACTAGTTAGATATGTGGATGATTAACTTGCTGTTTGGCAACGCGATAAAGGCAAATTAGTTAATAAATATCTTAGATTGAATGACAAAATTTAGTGTGGAGTTAGAGAAAAACGATAGGTTGTTCTTCTGGGTTTCTTGGTAAGTAAAGAAGGTGTTAAATTGTATAAAGACATGTTAAGGAAGCCATGCACGCGGGCTTCATTCCTAATTACTTTCCTACTCATGCATATTGGAGAAAAGTA